GAAGTATAACAGATTGTTTTGCTTGTGATGCTAGGACGAACAGATCATTGGATCTGAGTCTAGAATTATATTTGATATCTACCAAACTGTGTTTAGGGTTAACTCTAACCCTTGACATATTATCAAACCAAGTGCATTTGAACAACACAACTACCTGTCACCCTGCCATAATATTCCACCTTTAAAACATTATCTAACATTTCATAATAGTCAGATTAACACTCATCATAACAACCCCCTTACACATATACCATATTATGGGTATCTTTTTTATGAGATGACTCATAGACCTTACATATTAGTGGGATATAACTCAATGGTAGAGTGTCACCTTTCCAAATTCCCCAGTTCTTCTAGTAGAAAAAAAGGATGCGATTACAATAAACTAAAGTTTAACGAGTCCGATTATCCATGTATTTGTTCTAACCCGACCGGATTCGTGGGTTACCTTATGGAACTTATAACCATTCACAAATTATCTGTGATGCATGGTGGCATAACGGTCTGGTCCGCGTGCTAGAGATTTCCATTATTCACTTGAGTCGTTTGACTTGAACATGGCCTATAAAATAAGGTAACACGTAAGAAACACATAATGTATATCTTTACATTCTGTATATTGATATTAGCTAGTGTATATATACTCATGTAGTGCTGGAACAATCAACTAACCTTTCCTCTTGGATTCTATTAAGTGCAATATCAATATTTGGTTATGATTGTTGAATCCTTTCATCAAAGGTCTACTGGAAAGGTTGAACTTCTACATAACAAGGCATATGTGTGGATCTTGTGTAGGTTATGGTCATTCAAGATTATCTGTTTCCCACCTTTCTCGAATGGTATCTATTTCCCACCTTTCTCGAATGGTGGACGAGATGGAACCTTGAATATGCTTAACCGATCGTCGGTCCCCGAATCATTAGAAATATCAGGGGCTAAGTTTCTTGATTCACGATTATGTCTCGTTTCTATTGTTGGATCAAAATAGAGGGAGCAATAGACAGGCAATTTATTTACAAAGTACGACTCAACAATAGAGCCCTCAATCCCTTGCTTTGTTTCTAATTGTTCTCTTCAATGACCCATACTATTTATAATGGAATCAAGTCTTTTATGTGTAACACCATTAAACACATCGCAAGAAAGAATGTGCACAACTCCGTTATTGCATCTCATATCGGAGTTATATCATCCCTAGTAAGGCAATAGGGAACAATCGTTGCACTAAACTCATGACAATCTTGACTCTTGAAGCTTTAAAAACTGGACTCTTCAAGGTTGACACAACTCCTTATACTCGAAGCATACTGATCCAGAAACTCCAACTTCTTCAACCATGAACACACTTGTTTTACCTGTTGTTTGCTCAAACTGTACAATGGCTTCAGTTTCACTATTTTTTGTCTGATGTGGCAATGTGCAAATCCCGCTAATCACAATATTTCTCTACATCCCTCATCGCCTTTATATTGTCTTTTGTGGTCAATCCATCGCTAATTCGCTGTTAATTAGCGAGGGATTAAGATCATCACTAATAACCGTCGCAAATACCTAGTCTTCTAGCAGTGAAAAACAAAGTTTCTTAACCAGAAAAAACTGTGTCAAATAAAAACATAAATTGATCCAACGTTTCAAAAAGAAAGAATTCATTTGATAATTATTTTGTTTTTCATTTTTCTTATTAGATTTTAAACAATGAAAAACTTGATTCAGCATCGTCAACATTTAAACATAATTTCTTTAAATAAAAAAAATATAGAATTTTCAAAAGAAAATTACATCAATTATCTATTTAAATTTTTTTTAACAATAATTATGTAACTATGATATTTAATAATATAAAAAAAATAGTTAGGGGTTGTTTGTTTACCTCTTAATAGTTCCATTAAGAGACAACATCTGAATCTTTAAAATATGAATCTTGTTTGACAAAAAAAGTCTGTCTTTTAATGGTTCTAAAACCCTCTGAATGATTTTGTATCTTGGATCTTTCTAAACCATTAAGAGCCCTAATTTCATTGTACATAATTACGAAACAATTATATTTCATTTTGCATTATATTATGAGAGCCTCTTAATCATTCTGACCACTTAATCGTTCTGCACCAAACCATTCAGCAATTGCCAAACAGCCCTTTAATATAAATTAAAAACTCGTTTTGATTTTGAAAAAAAAAATTGTTAATTTTGTGAACAATTAAGAATTATAATTAAATTGGGTTTGATTTAGAAAATAATAAATCAATACGAAAATATAAGTTATCAAAAGAGATGAGAAAATCGACGTTTACATCATACAAAGATATTTACATTTAAGACACCTAACTTTGGTTATTTTCCTTTCTCACCCCCTTCATTTCAATAGTTATATCCATAGAGCATAGTTATTTTACTTATTATCTATATTGTATTATAAAGTATTTGATAAAAACTCTTAAAAATCATTTTTTATGTACGAAGTATTGTTTATCGATCCATATTACTTAAAATTTAAAATTACAAGTAAATTATGTATAAATACAACTTATTAAAACTCTATATTTGAATTCGTGTAACTAACTGCAAATAAACATAATCAAATACTTAATAAACATATCATTTTAAATACAAAAAATCTAAAATATAATTAGAATAATCATTGAGTTTTAACAGAATACTTAGTTATTATCTTTATAAAAAATTACATTATTAAACCTAAATTAAATTTTTTTGTTACTGAACCTAAATTAAATTATAATTAAAAAAATTGAATTAAGAAAAACACCAAAACATAAGAACTTTTAAAAAGATTAATTTCATACTGATATCGATATATATATATATATATATTCAAAATTTTATGATATTTTCAAATTTATATTTTATTCAAAAAATAAAAAAAAACATTATCGATTTTTCAGAATCACATAAAATCGTATTATATCGACATAGAAAAGAAATAAAATGAAACATTGAAATCAAGATATGTCTCGATGTATTGCACGAATATCCTTCTAATATATAATTAGAGATAATAGTATCCAGTATAAAAATTAAGGGTTTAGTCCAACCACATTTATATGTTTGCATTTGATCAAAACTTTCAAAAAAATTCAGATAGATTGCTTAATTAATGTCACATATATTTTTGTTATCTGAACCTTGTTAAATATGATATTTGCATTGTATATATATGATCTTCAGTTAAGAAAAGTACAGTTCATTTAACATTTCAGATAAAATAAACGACCATATCCCTCGCCCCACCACATCGCACTCTTGTTATTGGCTGTATTATCATATGCTTTGTATGACGGAAACTGCTGCTTTGTTACTTTATCCAAAATAAGTTTTCACATTGGCTCTACATGTCGATCATGACCCAGTTGCCTATCACTCATGTCGATGTGGTTAACGAAATAGACTGCCCACTACCACCTCAACTAGAATTTTGGGAAGTTGAATCTTAACTGTCGAGCAAATTCAACATCGAGAAAAACATAAACATACATTGATAACGTATTTGGAATTAATTATGAGCAATTTGGTTTGGGTAAAATAATATAACAACATAATTAATCAAGTTATTTTAAAAGAATACGTCCGTACAATTTGTAATTAATAAATATAAGGATGCTAAATTAGAATACACCGAGAATATTCTATTTTTAATTTAAGAAATATTTTAAGATAAAAGAAAGCAAGTAAATGAATTTGGGTTCTAGGCTCACGACTTAAGGGTGTGTTTGGTACAATGGACAGATACATGACAAAATAGGACAGGGATCCTTGTCCCATGTTTGACATGGATTTTATGTTAAACAGAGTGGAACAAAATGAAATAGGCCTGTTCCACCCCTACCCCATGGAACAGGGTGGAACATAATTATATTTTACCAATATAACCTCAAAGTAAAACTTAATTTTCTTCTAAAACATCAAATATGTCTCTTTTTACATTTTATTCATTATTTAAATTTTATTTATTGTATTTTATGTTTCTTAAACTTTCATTTTATTATCCTCAAAATATTATTTTTATACGGTTTCTACATTTTTATTAATTTATGTAATTTATTATATATTAATAATAAAAAATAATGTAGAAAAGAGATAAAAATAAAAATAGACTTTTTATTTAGTGTCATTTTAATTGTTTTGACGAAAACTTGTTATGATATATTTTATTATAAAAAATAATTATTCTATTATAATTTAATAAATTACATAAATTAATTAAAATAAACAACTCATCAGTGGTAAATTGATCATTTTACTTGTTCTGTTCTGTCCAGTTTTATCTTACCAAACGTTGAATAATTGTTATGTCCTGTCCTGACACCAAACACCAATAAATTCCATACAACATTTTTATTTAAACAAAGAACGATTCATTTAACGCCACATGTAATACGTTCACATCCCTTGTTGGCAGCCTTGCCTCACTATGCCCCATCATCTATCATATTCTTTTTCTCGTACTTTCTTATCTACTAGTCGTATGATTATATGTTTTAATATCTGTCGTTAGTTCAAATATCAAATTATCGACAATAATTGATGAAATCAATGTATTATTTACTCATCCAAATTGCTATAAGATCGGCCATTGGAGCTTTCTCATTACCTCCACATGTTAATCAGGACCAGTGATGTTGAAACGTCCTTCGAATGGTTTACGTCATTCCCATGTGGCAAGCAAAAGAGACTCCCCCATCATCACCTTGATTAATTAGAGTTCAAGAAACCCAACTCTAAGCAAGTGATTCGATGAAAAGACAATATGTTTACATAAGAATCAAAAGTATCGTATAAACCTCAAGATATCTGATATATCCTACAAGTTTATTTAATTATTGAACAAGTTGTTGTCAACTTTGGACCGAAGAATTGTAATAATTGATGGTGAGAAAGCAACGATGAACGACTGATCGTTGACGGATGTCGCATAAAATTTCGATTCACGAAATTATTTCATAAAGAAATCCAAAAGACAACATTAATTGTAGACCAGAAAAGACAACACCAATAATTAAATGAGGGGTGAAAAGAGATTCACGAATCACGATGACACTAAGATCTCAAGTCACATGAAGGATGATTCTGAATCACGAAATTATTCGATTCAACACAAAACACATGATAAGATTTAATCATTATATAATTTTTTTAAACAATTATATGATAAAATTTTCACGCCGGAAAAGTGTGATCGGCGGCGGACCTCCAGACGATGTCTCTAAGCGCTGGCCGGAGCTCCTTGCTGCAGAACTGGTTGTACTCCAGGGTGTCGCCGCTAGATTTCTTCACTTCTACCACTAAAAACGACGGCGTCACGGCGAAGATCTCCGCCGCTATCCCTAACTTTCCTTTCCTTCCGATTTCACGTCCCTGCAATCTCACACTGCTCTCGTCGCCGCTCTTCCTGACGCTGAACTTGACGGATTTCGCCACCTCCTCCAGCTTTGACACCACTGCCTCCGCCGGCTTTGTGGTGGCGAACCTCATCTCTTCCTTTTCCTCTCTCTTTTTTTCTTCAAATAATGGCGACAAATCGAATCCTTCTGATAACGAAATTATGTGAAATGCATTCAGAGTTTCAGCTTCTTTGCCTTTGAGCTGGACTCCTTCATCTTCCAGCAAAAACTTAGGGTTCTTCGGTGCCGCCTTCTTAAACCAGGGTGATTCCATGATCTTCGAGATGGTAATTCGAGAACTCGGATTTGGATCTAATAGTTTCGTGATCAATTTGCGTGCGTCGGATGATAACCACGGAGGACACTTGAAATCTCCTCGGTAGATTTTCCGGTACATTGCGACGATGTTTTCGTCCTGAAAAGGTAAAAATCCGGCGAGGAGGACGTAAAGAATGACTCCACAGGACCAGATATCGGCTTTAGCGCCATCGTATCCTTTTTTCCCGATTATTTCAGGTGCGACATACGCCGGAGTCCCGCACGTTGTGTGTAACAGTCCGTCCTGCCGGAGATGATCGCAAAAAGCGCTGAGACCGAAATCAGTCACCTTCAAATTACCTTCCTCATCAAGCAACAGGTTTTCCGGCTTCAGATCTCGGTGGTACACGCCTCGGCTGTGACAAAAATCAACGGCAGATATGAGCTGTTGGAAGTAGCTTCTTGCAACATCCTCCCGTAGCCGGCCCTTCGCAATTTTGGAAAACAACTCGCCACCTCTAACGAGTTCCATGGCGAAATAGATCTTAGATTTACTCGCCATGACCTCATATAGTTCAACGATGTTAGGATGCCGTACCATTTTCATCACCGAAATCTCTCGCTTGATCTGATCCATCATACCAACCTTAATAACCTTCTCCTTCCCCACGACCTTCATCGCCACACTTTTCCCGGTATGCACGTTCCTCGCGTGGTACACCTTCGCAAAGGTGCCATGTCCTAGCTGCCGGCCGAGCTCGTATTTGCCATGTAACACACCGTTGTTCCGATCCTCCGTCGCCATGATCTGTTCGACGAATTGCTTCTGCAATTACAAAATTAAAATACGTAACAAAATCGACACTAGAAATTGTAATCAATCGGCGGCCAATCAGTTGATCACCCGTCTTCAACGTGTTTCCGGTGGCAAGTTCTGCCGCCGATGGGTCGTTTGGCCCTTCCTCTGTTAGACAGGCGCGAGTCTCCTCTCATCTCTCTGCATTCCCCAAGTAGAATCAAAGTCTCTCTCAACAAATTTGTGTGCTGTTAGGGTTTTGAGAAAAGGGGATGGTTATATAGGCGGTTACAGAGTGCGAAATTACGTTTATGTTGTTGCGATTGGGAAAATGATCCAACGGCTGTGAATGAAAGGGGTTGTATCTGGACAGGAGTCTCTTTTGGACCTCCTAATTGCAATTACCATCGATCATACCATGAAATTGATGGGTCTCATATACCAACATTCTATTTTTTTTCGTATATATATTTAATGTTAGATATTTTTTTAAATAAAATATTATTAGTCATATATTATAAAATATTTAATAAAAACTCTTAAAAATAATTTTTTATATATAAAATACTGTTTATTGATGTATATTACTTAAAATTTAAGATTATAAGTAGAATATGTATGAATACATCTTACTAAATGTGTAACTAAGTACACATAAATATAATCAAATACATGATAAATACCGTTGTATAATATTAATTTTTTTAAATATAATTAAAGTAATTATTGAGTTCTAACATAATACTTAATTATTATCTTAAAAAAATATTTTATTAAACCAAAGATAAATTAGTTTATTATTAAACTTTAATTAAATTATAATAAAAAATTGAATTAAAGAAATTACACGAAACCGAAAACTTTTAAATAGTTAATTCAATACTAATATCGCTTATTATTTTCAAAAATTTATAATATATTCAAATTTATATTTCATTCAAAAATAATTTTTTTTTTCTCAAAACCACATAAAATCGCATTATAACATCGATAGACCCAAAATATTAAAATCAAGATGTATCTTGCTACATTGCGCAAGTACATTTCTAATTTATATAAAATAAAGTTTTAGTTCCTATATATTTAATATTAGATATTATTTTAAAAAAAATATTTGTTTGTTTTAAATAATGTAAGACGGTATCTTTTGGCTCACTCAACTGTTGAGACTAACAGGAAGATCTGTGATCAAACCAAAAACTTGTCTTGTATATGGACAAAGTCACCTTATCATTTATTTCTTAATGATTCGATCTTTTATCTCCTCTTTTATTATCTTTTGTAAAATACCAGTATAACCATAGTCCTAATTTTTCATCATCAAAACATGAAACTCATGATAAAACCCTGATAAAAACCTAATAAAACTTGAGGGTTGTTCGATAAAAACCTAAAATTCTGTCAGTATATTTGTATATGTATATTTTGAAAATTAAGTAATTTAAAAAGATTATTGCGATTTGAGCTTTGAGTGAAAAGTTATGATATGACAATGGTTGTTTGATAAAATCGAGAATTGGTGTTCGATAAAGTTCAAGTTTTTCTTGCTTTTAGATCTTGAAAAGATAATTTCAATAAAAAATACAGTGAAGAGTTATTGTCTCACGATGTTTGCTCTGTTGAGTTTAATAGCAGTTTCTATAACATCCCTACAACAAAAACCAAATCCCAAAATCCAAGCTATAACATTTAACATGTTCCAATATATACAAACAAGTCAGTTATATTCATCCATATTAGCAAAAGTCTGATAAAAAAAATTCTCTAACAAAAACTAATTTAACAGCTAGTCACATTTTATTCTCCAACCTGAGTTGACCTGCAAAAAATATTTGGAGGACTCTTCTGACCAAACAAAAAATATGTAATTGTCAGCAAATTTTTTAATCCAAGAAGTTTTTCTTACTTTATACATAATTTATAGGTCATCGATTCAACATTGGCTAAAAAAGGGGATAAAATCCCCAATAAGTAGTTCAAATCATTTTATCGATGTGAGTGTATATTTTACAACAACTAAGGGTTAGACCGAAATGTCTAGTGAGTGATTTCCCTCGTATAAAAATTTGCCATAAAATAATAATAAATTCAGTTCAAAATTCAACTGTTAAAACTGTTACGGTTGCCCCCGCCATCTATCGCAGTTAAACCCGTCAACTATCACGGTTGCCCTGCCATCTATCGCGGCTAAACCCGCCAACTATCGCGGCTACCCCGCCATCTATCATTATCTCGGCCAACTATTGGTTTAAACGATGAACAAACTCATAGGTAAAAAGCCTGGCCGATGAACTCCATCATCCCCCAAGGCATGGGAGATTAGTGTTTCCTCATCTCCCAAGGCATGGGAGATGAGCACACCCTCATCTTCCAAGGCATGTGAGATGAACACACCCTCGTATCCCAAGGCTTGGGAGACAAACACACCCTACTGGACATAATTTTTCAAATCCAACCATGTCGCATAATTTCATGTATCAAAGTAAATTACATTTAATGTAATAACACGTACTTTACAAAAACTTTGTAAGAACTCATCTCGTCTGAAATTATCCGAGATCTCACCAAAATTCTCTGATATTTTCTCTTTTTGAATCAAGTCTCCAAACCTTTTTCCTAAATTCTTCTCAAACTATATATAAATGTTGGCCTCGAATGGGATGACAATAAACAGAAAGTAATTGTAGAAGGAGGGTTGAATACAATTACACATACTTTTTTAGATGTATATCAAGAATTAACACACAGAGATATAATAAAGATTGTTGCGGAAGAAAAGAAATAATAACCTAACCTAAACAATCTTACAAAGATAAGAACTTACAAGAACAACACAGAGAGTACTTGTAAGGAAATGAAGAACACACTAAGTTTTTCTTCACACATAAGAGAGTAAGGGAGTAGAAGAGGAGAGTCGATTGCTTTTGAGAATGCAATTAGAAATCTTTCAAAGGAAGTCAATAGTTTGCATGGGAGATGCACACTGTCTTTTATACAATCTTCAGTATTAAATGTATGGGGACACTTGCCACCTGAGCATAAGAAGACAGGGTTTGACTTAACCATTGTTGATATCTCATTTTTATCGTACACAATATGTATACAACACTGTTTCATGCAGAGACAAACTTTTGCAGAGATATGGTCAGTCTGTAGGAAGATCTTCTTTGGCTGGATTTGTAGCTTCAAATAGCTACTCACAAATCTTCGGTGCCTGAAGATCTTTCTTCAAATCTTCGGTGCATGAAGATCTTTCTTCAAATCTTCGGTGCATGAAGATCTTTCTTCAAATCTTCGGTGCATGAAGATCTTCCTCACAATCGGCTTGTAGCATCAAAATATTTTTCATCTTCATATCAGCTACTCTGGAGTCTTGGTGTGTAAATTAGACAGTTGATTCACATTACCGCATCGGTGACCTCCTGTCTTCACATCGGCTAGTTTTCGATTTTACCAATGGCTTTAAGTATGTACCAAGACACCAATGTACAAAAAAAACCAATAACTACTAAGTGTTGATAGGATAGAGGAACATTGGTTTTCAATAGATGACCCAATAGGTGACCCAACAATAAACTTCTAAGAAGAGGAGGGTAAGGCGGTGCACGGGCATGCACCCTCCCCTCCCACGTGAAAACCAAAAATCCAATTTCTCACATTGGACTAAAATCATAAACTCACAAGGAGGTGTCCAAATTTTCCCCTTTTGGTCTCTTCTCTTCCAACAACTATAAAGTTTCACCCTTAAACTTTCCATTGCTATTTAATCTGAAACCCAGTCAACTCATAAATTAAAAACCAACTTTACAGTTTCATAGTTACTCGATAAAAAGGCAAAAGCTTTGTCAACATGTATGTTTTGAAAAAGTAGTAACTCGTAAAAAAATATCAATCTCAATCAAAGTAAAAAATTATGGCCTCAATACTGTTACAAAATGATTGCTCGATAAAGTTTGGTAAATATTATATGGTTGTTCTGTAGAAACCCAAAAAAAAATCGTGGACGTAGATATTTAAAAAAACACAACAAAAAATAAAGAGTGAAAAAGTTGGTCACATAGATTGCTATCCAATGATTGTTGGATAAAGTTCATAACTTTTTGTTCGTAATTCGTATCGAATTAGTATTTTTGTGAAGTTCTTTATTTTTTAAACAAGTGTGAGGCCATGAATTTACGCTCGTAATTCAAATTAAGACGTTTTTTTATGATGATTGTTTGGGTGAAGTTTATCAAAGTCAAGACTGACGTTAAAAGCTAACGACCAAGTATATATCATGGATAAGAATTGTCGATCAAATACATCGAGATTAGTGATCGTCACTATTGACAATAATCGTATGATAAAATGTTCGGCTAAAGATACTCATATTATCGGTCGCCAGTAAGCACTGACGATTGTACGTTTTCTTATACTTATCGTCATTAACTAACGACAAACAACGTTCTATGGTGTTTTAATGCTTGTCTTCTCACATTTAGTTAATAACGGACGTAACATAGAGCAAGCATTCAAAAACATTTAAGACGAAAACTGTTGTTGATAAGAAGACTCATAAAGACACATTTATGGGACAATTCATATATAAACAAAGCTCACCTCAAAGGAAAAGGGGGAGCTGCATTGAAAAGTACATAGGCAACATACGAAGTTCATTCGAAGCACTCACGAAGCTCTCAAGCAAACTCGTGATTCTTTGTTTGCAGTCATATTGCAATCTTTATACTAACGACCTTTGTCATACAAAGGATGATGTCCCTGTTTGACGTACTAGTGCTTTGACGATCTTAAGTACGTCGTCCGCAATTTTTACTCTCGATAGAGGTTTTTTTTCCGCGTCACCAAATTCTTGTGTCCTATCCAGTTTATTACGCTTATTGTGTGTTTATCGAAAGATACGAATTTTAGTTGTTAAAACTCCACAACAACCTTAAATTATTTATATAAATTAATTTTTGGCATAAACAACGATGCATATTCTTTTTCAAGATTTACATACTATGTATCATATGATACAACAATCGTGAGGGTGACGTTATAACTTTTATATGCATATTTTTGGCATAAACTTATGTTTATGATGGAAAAATATCGGGTTTGGTTTGGGCAACCATCGAGTTGTTACTGATTCTTGTTACTTTCCAGTGTGTAAGCATCATATGATATAACAATCGTGAGGGTGACGTTATAATTTTAGCTCATAACTTTGATTTAGATAAAAATATTTAGAAATCGTTTAGTTTTTTTCATGATCTACATGTTGGAAAAATACGAGTATCAAGAA